TAGAACCTTGCTTTTTTCACCATTGAATTTCATTTTGTTAGATAGCGCCCAGTGTTCAAGTCTGTCCAGATCCTTCTGTATCCTAAGCCTGTCTTCTGGAGTGTTGGGTATTCCTGCCAGCTTCGTGTCGTCAGCAAATTTGATAAGTTCCCCATCTATCCCCTCATCCAAATCGTTGATGAAGATGTTGAAGAGCACTGGGCCCAGAACAGAGCCCTGGGGCACCCCACTACACACTTCCCTCCATGTAGCCAACACTCCAGAAGACAGGTTTAGGATACAGGAGGATCTGGACAGACTTGAACACTGGGCGCTATCTAACAAAATGAAATTCAATAGTGAAAAAAGTACATTTAAGCAAGAAAAACCAAATGCACAGGTATAGTATAGGGGGTACCTTGCTCAATAGTAGTAACTGTGAGAGGGATCTCGGAGTCCTAGTGGACAATCACCTAAATATGAGCCAGCAGTGTGCTGCAGCTGCCAAAAAAGCCAACACAGTGCTAGGCTGCATTAACAGAGGAATAGAATCAAGATCACGTGAAGTATTAATACCACTTTACAATGCCTTGATAAGGCCACACTTGGAATACTGCATCCACTTTTGGTCACCACGATGTAAAAAAGATGTTGAGACTCTAGAAAGAGTACAGAGAAGAGCAACAAAGATGATTAGGGGACTGGAGGCTAAAACATACGAAGAATAGTTGCTGGAATTGGGTATGTCTAGTTTAATGAAGAGAAGGACGAGGGGGGACATGATAGCAATATTCCAATATCTCAGGGGCTGCCACAAAGAAGAGGGAGTCAAGCTATTTTCCAAAGCGCCTGAAGGCAGGACAAGGAGCAACTGGTGGAAGCTAACCAAAGAGAGAAGCAACCTAGAACTAAGGAGAAACTTCCTGACAGTTAGAACAATTAACCAGTGGAACAACCTGCCTCCAGAAGCGGTGAATGCACCAACACTGGAAGTTTTAAAGAAGAAACTGGACAGCCATTTGTCCAAAATGGTATAGGATTTCCTGCCTGAGCAGGGGGTTGGACTAGATGACCTCCAAGGTCCCTTCCAACTTTATCATTATTATTATTATTAGATGCGGTTCCATTGAGGACCTCTCGCTGAGTACGGCCGGTCAGCCAGCTATGGATCCATCTGGTGGTGATGCTGTCTACCCCACATTTTTCTATCTTGTCAAGTAGTAGGTTGTGATGTACTTTATCAAATGCTTTACTGAAGTCCAAGTAAATTATGTCCACAGCATTCCTCTCATCCACTAATTTTGTCACTTGGTCAAAGAATGCAATAAGATTTGTCTGGCATTATCTATTTTTGACAAACCCATGTTGGCTTTTAGTAATGACTTTGTTTGCCTCTAGGTGTTCGTTGATTCGTTGTTTGATTATCTTTTCCAAGATCTTCCCAGGTATTGAGGTCAGGCTGATAGGTCTGTAATTTCCTGGGTCCATTTTTTTTCCTTTTTTGAGGATGGGAACTACAGCAGCTCTTTTCCAGTCCTCTGGTAGTTCCCCAGTGCTCCAGGATCTTTGAAAAATATTGTTCAGTGGTTCAGAAATCACATCTGCCAGTTCCTTGAGAACCTTGGGGTGTAATCCATCTGGTCCTGGTGATTTGAACTCGTCTAGGCTGGACAGGTGCTCACTTACCATTTTCTTGCCTATCTTAACTTGTGTTTCTATTCTATTTTTTATGGCACTATTTTTGATAGGTTGGTCTGTTTTTTCCCTTTGTGTAAAGACAGATGCAAAAAATGAGTTAAATAGTTCCGCTTTCTCCCTGTTGCTTGTCACCTTCTTGCCACTTTCACCCACTAATTGACCAATCATTTCCTTCACTTTTTTCTTGTTTTTTACATGTTGAAAGGAGCTTTTTTTATTATTTTTGACTTTGGTTGCAAGCCTTAGTTCATTTTGAGCCTTGGCTTTCCTCACTTCATCTTTGCAGGCTCGGGCTATTTGCTGATATTCTGACTTAGTTATGTGCCCCTCTTTCCACTTTCTATACTTGTCCTTTTTATCTTTCAATTTGTCAGAGAATTCTTTGTGCAGCCATGCTGGTTTCTTTTGAGAGCTGTTATTTTTCCTCTTTGTTGGTATTGTGCTAGGCTGGGCTTTTATTATCTCACTTTTCAAAATTTCCCAAACTTCTTGAGTTGTTTTCCCCTGGAGGATTCTCATCCATGGAATCCTTCCCAAACCCTCTCTAAGTTTATTGAAATTAGCTCTCTTGAAGTCCAAAACTCTAGTAACTGACACAAGATAACGAACACGAAGGTATTACAACTGAAGATTATAACGTACTAGTGAAGGAGGGTCCCAAGGATACCGAAGTTGTGGAAGATAGTAAAGTAGAGACAATCACTCTTAATCTAGGTTTTACCGATTAGGGGATCAAGGGAAGAGATGAAAAACCCTCTGTTTCAACAGACGATCCAAACGGTCCTTGAACTGTGGTGAACAACTTTGCTTTTCATGCAGTCATCCTCAATTTCCTTTCCTTTCTCCAGAAGGGATCATTTTGTATCAATCCTAAGTTAAGGACTTAGTAGATAGAACATAGAATAATAGAGCTGAAAGGGACCTTGGAGGTCTTCTAGTCCAACTCCCTGCTCAAGCATTTTAGACAAATGGTTGTCCAGTCCAGCCTCCAGTTATGGAGCACCCACAACGTCTGAATGCAAGTTATTCTATTGGTTAATTCCTCTCAGCGTTAGGAAATTTCTCCTTAGTTCTAGGTTGCTTCTCTTGGTTAGATTCCATCCATTGTTTCTTGTCTTGCCTATTGGTGGTTTGGAAAATAGTTTGACCCCTCTCTGTAGGTACCCCTCAAATATTGGAACACTGCTATCATGTTCTCCCTAGTCCTTCTTTTTATTAAACTAGACATACCCAATTCCTGCAACTATTCTTCGTATGTTTTAGCCTCACAGCCCCTTATCATCTTTGTTGCTCTTCTCTACACTCTTTCCAGAGTCTTAATATCTTTTTTTGTATTATGGTGACCAGAACTGGATGCAGTATTCCAAGTATGATCTTACTAAGGCTTTGTAAAGGGGTACTAGAATTTCACATGATCTTGATTGTATCCCTCTGTTATTACATCATAGGACTGTGTGTTGGCTTTTTTGGCAGCTGCAGCACACTCTTGGCTCATGTTTAAGGGATTGTCCACTAGGACTCCAACATCCCTTTCACAGTTACTGGCATTAAGCCAGGTTTCACCTAATCTATACCTGTACATTTGGTTTTTCTTACGCAAGTGTAAAACTTTACTTTTATCTACCTTGAATTTCATTTTGTTAGATAGGGCCTAGTGTTCAGTTTGATCATTTTGCATCAATCCTATCCTGTACGCAAGTTGCTTGATGTCTTGTGCTTATTGGTGTCCATTTAGCCACCTATGAATCAAAACTGATTTCAGGAAAACAATCACCTGTTCCGACTTACCTATGACGGTCAATTTTGCAGACACAATAGCATCTCTGGCAGCGAAGGTTATCTCCCCAGAGTGGAGAAGCTGAGCTTTTTTTAAGATGAGTTTATAAGTATTTCCTTCGACTTCAATTTTCCAATTTTCATTTGGTTGGATGTCTACGTCATTAATATACCAGGCAATCTCATGAACAGGTACTGCTTCACTTAACACGCAGCTAAAGACAGCTTGTTCCCCGGCACAGACGGTGACATCTGTCAGAGGCTGCAGGAATTCCAGTCTCCATCCTGAAACGATCAGAAATGACACCATCAATATTTTCAAAGCAAAGAAGAAATTGAGATTTTGGGAAACTTTGGGGGAAAGTAGGCTGATTAATAAAAAACCGAAATACAGGTAGTCCTCAACATGCAAAAGTTCATTTAGTGATCGTACTAAGTTATAACAGTACTGAAAAAGGGACTTATGATCATGTGAAGTATTAGTACCACTCTATAAAACCCTAGTAAGACCACACCTGGAATACTGCAGCCAATTTTGGTCACCATATCACAAAAAAAATGTTGAGAGTTTGGAAAAAATTCAAAGAAGAGCAACTAAGATGATCAAAGGCCTGGAGACTAAAATATACAAAGAATGGCTGCAGGACTTAGGTTTGGCTAGTCTAAAGAAAAGAAGAAATAGGGGAGACATGATAGCAGCATTCCAGTATTTGGGGGGCTGCCACAAAGCAGAGGGGATCAAACTATTCTCCAAAGTACCAGAGGGCAGGACAAGAAACAATGGTTGGAAACTGATAAAGGAGAGAAGCAACCTGGAATTAAGGAGAAACTTCCTAACAGTGAGGACAATTAACCAGTGGAACAGCTTGCCTACAGAAATTGTGGGTGCTCCATCACTGGAGGTTTTTAAGAAGAGACTAGACAGTCACTTGTCTGAGATGGTATACGTTCTCCTGCTTGAGCGGGAGGCTGGACTAGAAGACCTCCAAGGTCCCTTCCAGCTCCATTCTATTCTATTCTATTCTATTCTATTCTATTCTATTCTATTCTATTCTGTTCTGTTCTATTCTATTCTATTCTATTCTATTCTATTCTATTCTATTCTATTCTATTCTATTCTATTCTATTCTATCGTTTTTCACACTTACAACTGTTACAGCATCTCCATGGTGACAAGATCAAAATTCAGATGCTTGGCAATTAACTCATATTTATGATGGTCGTAGTGTCCCAGGGTCTTGTGATCCCCTTTTGTGACCTTCTGACAAGCAAAATCAATGGGGAAGCCAGATTCACTTAATAGCCATATTACTAACGTAACAACTGCATTGATTCACTTAACAGTTGTAGCAAGAAATGGGGTAAAACAACAAATATCTCACTTAGCAACATAAATTTTGGGCTCCATTATGGTTGTAAGTTGAGGACGATCTGTACATGACAATGGACCCCATTTCCCAGCTGTACTGCTAACTGGTGAAGTATCTCGGCTGCTATGCATGTTTATTGTGATTATTTTTATTGTTTTTTATTATCTTAGAATGTTTTTAGTATTTTAATTGTGATTTTCTTTTTAATTGTAAGCCATCCACACTTATTGACTGAGATGGGCAGCTTTAGAAAGATAGTCTTTGACTTACAACATTTTGTTTAATGAGCGCTCAAAATTACAACAGCACTGGAAAAAGAGAATTGTGACCATTTTTCACACTAATGACTATTGCAGCATCCTCATGGTCCTGTGATCGAAATTCAGACATTTGGCAACTGGCTCATATTTGTGACAGTTGCAGTGTCCTGGGGTCACTTCTGACAAGGAAAGTCAATGGGGAAGTCCCTGTCACTAACTTAACAATTGCGGTGATTCACTTAACAACTGTGGCAAGAAAGATCGTAAAATGGGGCAAAACTCACTTAACAAGTGTCTCACTTAGCCACAGAAATTTTGGGCTCAGTTGTGGCCATAAGTCGAAGACTACCTGTATCTGATTGTTTTGTGCAGCAAGATATTTGATTGTCACCTTTGACGGTCAAGAAAGCAGACGTGACCACATCGCTCGCTTGGAAAGAAACCCTGCAGCTGTCTTGGACTTTGAGGTTCTTCAGAAGCAGAAGATGGCGGAGTCCATTTTCAAAATAAACCAATTCCACATTTTCGGACGTTTTTGCCGGCACATCATCGATCAGCCAGTTATAATTGTAGATTTCTGGTTTGGATAGATAACATTCAAAAAGGGCTTCCCCTCCTTCCATCGCATCCACGTTCTCAAGGCCCTGGATGACTGTATTCTTGGCTGTTAGGACAAAACAAATTAATGGAATTAATAAGAAAAAGGCCTCAATCCCTGACTTTCCCATCATATGTATAGTCCTCGCCTTGCGACTCTTTGTTTAGAGACTGTTTGAAGTTACAACAGCACTGAAAAAGGGACTTAGGACCAATTCTCATGACCGTTGTAGCATCCCCACGGTCATGTGATCAAAATTCAGGTGCTTGCAGTTAATTCATAGATATGACGGTTACAGCATCCCAGGGTCATGTGTTCACCATTTGTGACCTTCTCATACAGCTCCTGATTAGCAAAATCAAGGGAGAAACCAGATTCACTCAACGGCTGCCTGATTTATTTAACAATCGCAGGGATTCACTTAAAAACCATGGCAAAAAAGGTCATAAAATGAAGCATGGCTCACTTAATAATTGCCTTGCTTAGCAACATAAATGTTGGGTTCAATTGTAGTTGTAGTTGAGGACTACCCATACAGCATTTAAGTTAGCTGGAAATTATTATATATTAATGTAATATATTGTAAAATTATAACATAACATAACATAATATAATATCTTTAGGCAGATTGCAAACTTGGTTGTTTGCAATATTTTTGAGTTATATTCAAAAAATGAAGTGACCATCATCTTTAGCTGAAATTCAACCTTCATTTTGATGTAGGTTAAGAGTTTTGAACAGGGGAAAGTTTTCATTGGATTGCTAAATGCACAGGAATAGGATCAGACTTAGGAGCTTCTGAGAGGGGGGTCAAATGCTGCACATATTTTTAAAAAAACATAGTTTAATTTCATGGTTGCATCCTTGTTGAATTTTCTTCCTTATGCAGATGTCGCCAATTAGGATCATAACATTGTAAAGAAGAAGTAATCCTACACTAAGGTTTGGCTCAGCCAGATTTCAATCAAGGGCAAAATAAGGGCTCGAATCAAGAAAAAAAAATCATTCACACACATACATAAATGTTGTGTGTGACAATGAGTAAAAGTAAAGGTAAACCCTGTGTGTGTGTTCATGAGGACACAAGGAAGTGACAACAGACTGCACATGTTGCTTTGATACCCATGGAGATTTCCTCTTTAATTATGCTTTTCTTATGCCATAAAAACATTTCTGTAAAGAACTGTGAGTAATCCCAGTGAAACTCAAGCCTCAGATGTTTGTTTGTTCATGTCTTGCCTTTATTATGTTTTTATAAAAAACTCAAAGCGACAAACATATCTAATACTCCTTCTCCTCCTATTTTCCCCATAATAACCCTGTGAGGTGGGCTGGGGTGAGAAAGAGGGACTGGCTCAAAGTCACCCAGCTGGCTTTTGGGCCTATGGTGGGACTAGAACTCACCATCTCCTGGTGATTGGCCCAAAGTCAGCCAGATATCTTTCATGGCTAAGGCGAGACTAGAATTCAGTATCTCCTGGTGACTGGTCCAAAGTTGCCCAGACACCTTTCATGCCTAAGGCTGGACTAGAACTTACCATTGCCTAATGATTGGCTCAAAGTTGTCCAGCCAGCTTTCCTGCCTAAGGAGGGACTAGAACTCACTGTCTCCTGGTTAATGGCTTAAAGTTCCCCAGTCAGTTTTCATGCCTAAAGCAGGACTAGAACTCACAGTCTCCCGGTTTCTAACCTGGTGCCTTAACCTCTACTTGATCTTGGCTGGTGCAGAGACTGTAAGCATGACCTGAAGCATGCGGTACAATTATGTTTTTTTAATGTCCATAATAAAAGGCATAATTTGATCTTTCTTTTTATCATCACAAAGCTTTACCCAAGTGACTTTATTTAAAAATGGGTCATTGTGTTTTTACAGAATTCAAAGCAACCTGGCAGCCAAGCATTAAAAAAATATAATGCAAGCAATAAAATCATTAAAAAATTTAAATAACCTCAGATCAGTAGACAAGCCAAACAAAAAAAACATATTTAATAAAATATGACTTTCAAAAGCTTCAGCTCCGAGTAAGAGCAGATGACAATTAAGCTTGCAATGACACAGAGCAATTACAAAATGTTTTAGGCTGCTCAAATTCATTGCTGAGTTATCCTTACAACAGCCTTGCAAGGTAGGCCAGGATTCCTGTTCTCCAACTGTGTACCGGACCATTGAATTGCTGACACTGACATGCATTAAGAAAACTCTTCATGGTCGCAATGCAAATTCAGCCAGTAATTTTCCCAGCTATCTGGTTCTCTCTGAATTTATTTTATGCAGTTAGTATGTTGCCAAAATTAAGGGCAGATAGAAGAAATCAAACCAAGTGTGTTTGGAAAATGCAGGCAAGTTAAAATCTGCATCACCTCAAAATTCTCATCAATCATCTGAGTTTCTTTGTGACAGCTAAGAGCCCAAAAATTTAATACAAATGCTTAATAATAGAAGATAATATTTGTAGTTCGGGGTTGAACTGCAGGGTCTTTGGTGCCCTCGAAAATTGATCGTTTTCACAACCCAACTAGGTAACATCATCAGTGCTAAAAGTGAAGGACGTTCTAGCTTCTAGCACTGATGATGTTACCTAGTGGAACGTCTGCAAGAAAACCAACCAGCTCAGAGAGCACCAAGGACCCCACAGTCATTTTCCTCCTCCTCCTCCTCCTCCTCCTCCTCCTCCTCTCCACATACCCCACTTCCTTCTAGCACTGATGATATAACCTAGTTGGGTCATGAAACGTCTGCAACAAAAAAAAAACAAGTTCACAGCACACCAAGGACCCCACAGTCCTCCTCCTCCTCTTCCTCTCCACAAACCCCACTCCCTTCTAGCACTGATGATATAAACTAGTTGGGTCATGAAATGCCTGCAACAAAAAAACCAAAGCACACCAAGGACCTCACAGTCCTCCTCCTCCTCCCCACAAACCCACTCCCTTCTAGCACTGAAGATGTAACCAAGTTGGGTCATGAAACATCTGCAAGAAAACAACCAAGCTCAGAGAGCCACAATAACCCTGCATGAATGCTTATGTTCCTACATAAGGTTTTCCTGTTCCCCAATGCCGGCTAAAATTGTTATTTGGACCCTTTGTAACGAAAAATCTCTTCTTGCTCTTTGATTTCCAAAAAGCTAGTCGCTTAACCAGGGGAATGCCTTCGCCTCCAGAGGTTGTGGGTACTCCAACACTGGAGGTTTTTAAGAAGAGATTGGACAGCCATTTGTCTGGAATGGTATAGAGCCTCCTGTGTGAGCTAGAAGACCTCCAAGATCCCTTCCAACTCTGTTATTTTGTTATTCTGGTATGGGTCACCAAAAGGAAGTTGGTTTGGGCCTCGTGTCAGCTGCAGCGGTGTTCCCATGATCATCTTCTTCCATTGTGGTTGACCTCACCTTGAACATCAAGCATGGCCTCCACTTTGGTGCCTCCAGCTTCACAAGAGTAAATCCCCGTGTCACCAGGAAGAGCCGGCTTGATTTTCAGTCTGGCCACGTTCCAGTCCTGCTCAACCACAACTCGCTGGCCGTCTGCCCAAAGAGGCTGGTCATCCTTCTTCCAAACGGCCTGCACCGGCCGAGAATATTGGCAGATGAATTCTGCGGTCCCGTCTTCTTCCAGGGTTAGGTCCTGCATGGGGCTGACCACTTCGATGGTCGGATCTGTCAACCGATAGGTCAGGTGTTAGTGCAGGCTTGGGGGAATATTTTTTGCTTTTAAAGGAGGACCCTCAGCGAGTTGTGTGAAAGCAGGGATCAGAAGCACTCTTTAGTTTGCTAAGGTGGTTTAATGCTTGCTTGGCTCAGCGATGAAAATGATAGAAGCACATAGGTTAGCTAAGGGGGGCAGCAAATCATCAGTGACCGAGTGGCTGAAAGCAGTTTTGCCTAACTCAGGAATATGGACTGCAACTCCCAGAATTCTTCAGCCAATGTGGAGATTGCAGAGAATTCTGGGAGCTGAGCTATTGACAAAGCTGGCCAGGTTAAGTCCTTTTTCCTAACACCATAGTCCTAGACTTACAACCTTTTGTTTAGTGACCATTCAAAGTTACCACAGCAATGAAGAAAGTGACTTTAGACTGGTTCTCGCACTTACGATTTGTTGCAGCATCCCCATGATCATGTGATCAACATTCAGATGCTTCGCAACTGGTTCATATTTAAGACAATTGCAATGTTCCAGGGGTCATGTGATCTGATCCCAATGGTGGTCGTAAGCCGAGGACTATCTACTGACAATACTATACCTGAATTAGTTACTGTGCTCAGATGGATATTTATGCATCTCTGAAAATCTCCCGTTTGAATCACCTTTGCCTGTGGCTATATTTTGTTATTAATTAAATTTGTATGCTGTCCCTCTTGCTATCAAGAGACCCTATTCGTGACTGGCTCACTCGCAAATGACAACCACCAAACAAAATTGAACTGAAAACCATTTTGTCAAAATCGTTTCATCTGCCCTGCAAAAGTTTCCAGAAGCACCTAAAACCAGATACGCATTTATTTTATTTATTAAACTTTTATGCCGCCAATATTTATGACAGTTCGGCAGATCCAGCAACGGGAAAGCACAGATGCTCCTAAATCTATTACATGCCATTGTAAGCCTTCCAGAATCACTTCAGATTAGCGAGGCAGGCAGCATATAAATTTAAGAAATAAATAAATATCTTCCAAGGACAGTGAGTAAGGTACAGGATTGTGCTTAAGGTGGTGGTGCCTAGTGGTTAATGCATTCCTTCCAGGAGCTGTTTTGCAGGAATTGGTTAGGAGTCCAGTGACAAAGGAACAAGCGCAGCATGGTGGTCGCCTGACACGGAAAGCCTGAAATACCTTTGATTAATAATTTAGCCGAGGATATCAGAGAACCTGCTCGGAAGATCACTGTTCCTGAATCATTGAGACCCAGGTCTTTTAAGGTCAGCGTGTGAATGGTCCCATCTTGCATCGAGATTTGATTTGCAGGGCTGTTGTGAAGAGGGGAGCCGTCCAGCCACCACTGTGCCTTTTGTGTTCCAGATCGGGAGAGCTCGCAGATAAAAGTAGCCGATTCCCCGGCAAAAATAT